TTCCCCCCCCCCGCTGAGGAAGTTGAGTCAGGGTGATAAGGCCAAGGAATGAAACTGAAGACATGGGGCCGGAAAGGAAGAATTAAAACATCTTTCTTGCAGGTGCCGTGACCGTAGGGAACCCTAGGGGATTCACCATAAAACCACTAGAACCATTGAAAGAGTTCAGCAGGTTTTCAGGATCAAGATCTATCTGCCAAGATCAGTTGTATTTTCAGGCTCGACAGACAACCTGTCCAGAATGAAGTTTGAAAAACGTCCCCCCACAAGGGCATAAAGAGAATAAAATACGTGGGAATAAGTTTAACAAAAGATGTGTGGGACCTGCACCCGAAACCACAAAACACAGCTGAACAACACGGAGGGAGATGTAGATACACAGACCTTCCTGCCCAGGCTCAGGAAACTCAGTATTGCTAAGATCCAGTTCTCCCCGAATTAACTTAAAGGTCACAGCCGCGCCTGTCGGAATCCGGCCGCTCCCCTGCAGGCGTGGACAAGCCGGTCTGAAAACTCTAAGACAGCAAGCGCCTCTCCCCACGGGCCATGCGCTGAGGGGTAGCGTCTCCTGATCTAAAGGTTTCAGGTTTTCTAATGTGTCCGTCCTTTCCTGTGGGGCCCGTGCTTGTTGGGTCTTGTTTGAGAAATGCTTTTATTCTGAAGCCACGAAGCTTTATCTTTTTGAAACCTTATGGTTTGCCTTTTGTGCGAAAGTCCTTGCCCCAAGCTCACATGTGCGCGTGGGTGCACATGCGTGTGTGTGTACGTGTGTGCACGTGTGCGTCTGTGTGCGTGTGTGTGTGCATGCGTGTTGTAAGGGTCACCTCTGTCAGGCAGCGCGTGTCCCCCGGGGCAGGGGCCATCTGATGGCTCCCCTCTGACCCCTCCAGCCCGTCGTGCGTGAGCTGACCCAGCTTGGTAACCGTGGTGACGTCTGGAGGGCGAGTCTCCTCTCCTCGTTCTTCTTCCAGACAGACTTGACTCTTCTTGGGAGTTTTTCAGACTCCCACAAAAACCTCAAAATCAGTTTCCCTAGATTAAAAACAAATAAACAAAAAACCCGCGGGGATTTTTGTTGGGCTTATGCCCAAACCGTTAAAGGGTACAGTGAACACATGGCAAAAATCCCACCTATTTATTCATGAGGAAACAAATAAAATGTTGCCACCAATTCACATGAGGATTTGATCTGAAGAGATCTGTGTCCCTGCCTGGCAAAGCTCCCTTGCGGCCCTGGGGACAGGAACTGTGCATGTGTCTGTGGACAGCAGCATTTGGAGCGCCCACCGTCTCTCGGGTGAATGTCGCGCTCACAGTCATCAAACGGCCCAGAGACCCCCCCCCCCACCCCAGGCCCAGATGTGCAGATACGTCCAAAGTACAACATGAACGTGAGCTGGTGTGGCTGGTGCAAGGGTGCGGCCGAGTGTGGTGTCCAGCCTGGGGGGTTGGGGGCAGCCTTGGTTGGGAACGGGTGACCTGGGGACGTTTTTGGACAAGGCGCCCACAGTGGGGCTGGGAGGAGGGTGGAACAGAGGTGGAGGGTGGAGGCCCAAGGCGCCTGTGCCCAGCAGACCAGGGTGGGTCTGGGAAAGGTCCTGGCTCGAGGGACGGGCCAGCTGGGGGCTGTCTAGAGGTGGGGCCCAGCCCAGACGCACAGTGCACGGCCAGGCCCCTTGGTCCAGGGGGAGGACGGCAGCCTCCCGGGCCCTGGCAAGGAGGGAGGACATGACCCCAGTCCCAGGACAGCGCAGCTCTGGGTGTGTAGAGGCTCGTGGTGTCGGCCCAGGGCGACGGTGGCCGGATCTTTCAGGGCTGCCCCCGTGGAAAGGCCCCGATGCTGTCACATGTGAGGATCCTTGACAATCCTACTTCCTTAACAGTCAGGTGGAGTTTGCTGTGGCTCTGGCTACGGCCCCGGCCCGTTCCGGGGTGTGGCACCGCTCCTCAGGGCCTGGGATGCAGGTGTGGAGGCCCCAGAAGGCCAGGGGGCAACCGGTGCCCAAGGCAGCGCCGGCCCGCGGGAGAAACCGCTGGCTGGTGTGCGGCCCCAGGGCTGGTGCTGGGACCAGGGTGTGTGAGAGCGGCCGGGAGCCGTGCACAGGTCCGCGGACAGACAGGCTGGCGGCTGAGCGAGGCCGGTCCTGGGACGGGGCGCTGTGGCCGCGGGCACCCTGCCCAGGACGCTCGGGAGCGCGCGGAGTTCTATGGTGACGATGTTCCACGCGTGGCAGACGCCCTGAACAAGGGGGGCTCTGCTGAGGACTCTGCTGGTGGCAAACCTGGGGTCTAAGTATCCCCCCTCCCCCCCCCCCAAGCCCTGGGGCAGGTCTCACTGGCAGGCCCGCTGGGGGAGGGAGGGAGCTGGGAGGGAGTGGATTTCAGCAAGTGGTGGTGGGCACTTTGTAAAGGCCAGGACGACCCCCAAAGCCAGGGGGTCCCCTGCAGCTACCTACTCACACTCGCTGGCACCCGGGCCTGGCCACTGCCCCCTTGCCCCACCTCCAGCCCTCGTGTCCTCTGGAACGTGGCTCTGGGTGCTGAAGGGAGGCCGTGGCTGTCCGTGGCCATCTGGCCTGGGGCCACCCTGGTGTGATGGGGCCCCAGCTTGGCTTGGAGCAGAGCAGAGTCTGTGATAGTTAAGTCCCTGTCTTGACCCGAAGACCCTAAGTCCCGGCTGGGGGCGTGGCACCCCGTGGGGGTCACAGAGGTGTCAAAGAGAAGCCACCTGGAGGGAAGCCAGGACACGAGCAGCGTGACCACAAGCACACCGCAGACAGAGCCAGGGCAGGGCTGGGACACGGAGCTCCTGGGGTAGGAGACACCATGAGGTCGGGACTCAGCC